CTAAAGCACCCACAGCCGTGTCTACTTCCTGAGATGAATCCAGACACACAGTATGAGGGTTCTGGCATTGCAACCGTGACTCACCAGAAACAAAGATAGCAGCTCAAAGCCTAAAAAGGAGACACGTCCAGGAGGGATGTGTGGGAAAACCCATCTGGCAAAACCTCCACCACCCCGTCCAGACCTGGGTTTACCTATCAAGCTAAGTATCCCAGTCATCGACCAACCAAAACTATAACTAATAGTAATAAATGATAGTGCTATTATCTAGCACCCACTGTGAGCCAGTACAGTGTGCGAAGTAAAGACCTAAACGTATCTATTCCTCAGAACAACCTTAGGAGACATGTACAACCATCACCCAAGGTCACAAAGCAAGGAAACAGAGCAGCCTGGTGGGCCATCTGGGCCCAGGGTCTATTCTCCTAACTACCCTGTGCTATGGAGCCTCTAGTATAGTGGTTCTCAAACTTCCTAATTCCACAATGTATTTTCATTGTTACAAAGGGGTTGTGACCCACAGGTTGAGAACCACTGCTCTAGTGAGTAAGAAGCGCCTTTTGGGGTGTGACGTGTGCCAAGCGGTTTTCAGAATCTCTTACTTGCTCCTTGTGCGAATTCCACAGGAAGAGCTACATTATTCCCATTTCACAGGCCAGGAAACTGAGCTTCAGAGAGAGTTAGTGATCTGCCCATGGTCACACAGTTGACAAGTCTCTTCTTTTCTGGACTCCAAAACCTAGTGGTCACAACTGCTATGTTCCTGAGGCTGAGAGAAAAGCTCCACGATGAAAGGGGTGAGTGCTGGGTCTCAGCTCTCATGAAGGGTAAAGAGAAGGGGTGTGTGATGGACATAGGAAAGGGGCCGGAAGAGTCTGCGGCTTCCCTCCTGGACTTTGGCACCTGCCCCAGCCCACCCAGATGCTGCCTGTGACTTCTGTAGGCTTGGAGGCTCCTTCAGGTGGTGGCTGCTGCTCTCCTCTCTGTCCCTGTAGTGCAGGCACCTCCTGATCTCTGCCCCAACAGCCACACCCACTGCTGCCATGGTGCTGTCACTGCAGGGGAGGACAGCTCATCTTCTCCTCCAGCCCTCTGAGGAGTCATTCTGATCACTCTCTGATGTTCCAGAAAGTTTATCCTTCTTTCCTTGGCCTCCATTCAACCATTGAACCAAACAATTCAAGCTGTATTCTGCTTCTGAGCTAAAGGTTCCCACAAAATATTCCTATTCTGTTGCCAAGCGCTCAGAAAACACATCCTGGATGGATGGATGGCTATTTCAATGGTCTTAGGCATTCAGAACCCAGCCTCAAACCTCTAGTTCTCCTCCCAGATGTTCCTTCAGAACTTATTTGGTGGAACTCCCCCAGCATGTCTGCACTCTCAACAAACTCATTCTTGATCTAATTGGGCCTCTGCTCCACTTCACCCCATATCACAGTCAATCCTTACTTGAGGACCCCACTTTTCCTGGAAGGAACTGCATGCTCTTCTCATAAACTCTCCCCTGTCTGTGTAGTGAAGAATCAACCTTACCCAAAGAGAGGTCTTGCCTTTGTCCTGACTCTTGGGGGGTCCAACCAGCTACAAACCCTTGGAATAAAGAATTTGTCTAGTCTTTGTCACCACTTCCTAGCCCTCAAATCCTTGGGATTTTCCAAGAGGTAAGAGAATCTTTGTTATTCATGGTGAGCCCTGACAGTTCATGTAAGTGAAGTTATCTATGGTGGGTCAGACTCCTAGACTGTTTTTGCTAACAAGATGACTCAGGATGGGGGCTGGCCACGCCCCCAAGCTCATGTGATATCAGCCTGGCCTCCAGGAAGGGGGCATGGAAAAAGAATTAAACTGAGTGGACAACATTTCAATCAACTGTGCCTACATAATGAAACACCAATAGAAACTCTGAACACCAAAGCTCAGGGGCAGGGGTTCCCTGGTTGGGAAATACTCTGCATTTTGTCTCAGCAGGTGCTGAGGGAGCCACACAGTGATTCCAAAGGGACAAGTCAATGGAGGGACCTAAAGGGTATTGGGGATCCTCCTACATCTCACTCTCTGTATCTCCTCTTTGGCTGGTTTGGTTTTGTATCCTTTTGCTATAATGAAACTGTGACCTTACATATAGCACATTCCTGAATTCTGTGAATTATCTTAGTGAATTATTGAACCTGAGGGGGTAGTAGGAACTTCCCGATCTGTAGCTAATTGGTCAGAAGTGAGGGTAGACTGGAGCTGGTGTCTGAAGAGAGGGCAGTCTTGTTGGGGACTGTGCCTTTAACCCATGAGGTTTGGCTCAGCTCTAGGTAGGCTGGTGTCAGAAATCACTACATTGAGTTTGGCTGCCCTACTGCACAGTCCCAATGGAAGGATCATAAACACAGTCTGAGGACCTTCCTGGTATAATTATCCAGATTCTCTCCTTCACAGAGTTCGAGGCACTGTTATAACACCCACAACTATTAGTATATATACACAATAGAATACTACTCAGTCTTAAAAGGGAAGGAAACCTGTCATTTGCAACAACATAGATGAACCTAGAAGACATTATGCTATGTGAAAAAGCCAGGCATAAGGAGACACTTGCTGAGTGATCTCACATGTGAATTCTCAAAAGTCAAACTCATAGATGGAGATAGTAGGATGGTGGTTATCAGGGGCTGCCTGGGTGAGGGTGGGGAGATGTTGGTCAAAGCATTCAAAGTATCAGTTAGATGATAGGAATAAGCTCCAGACATCTATTGTACAACATGGTGAGGACAGTTAGTAACAAAGTATTGTGTACTGAAAATCACTGAGAGTAGATTTTTTTTTTGAGACAGAGTTTCACTTTGTCACCCTCAGTAGAGTGCTGTGGCATCATAGCTCACAGCAACCTCAAACTCTTGGGCTCAAGCAATCCTCTTGTCTCAGCCTCCCAAGCAGCTGGGACTACAGGCATTCACCACAACGCTTGGCTATTTTTTAGAGAAAAGGTCTCACTCTTTCTCAGGCTGGTCTCGAACTTCTGAGCTCAGGCAACCTACCCACCTTGGCCTCCCAGAGGGCTAGGATAACAGGAATGAGCCACCGTCCCCGGCTAAGACAGTAGATTTTAAGTGGTCTCATCACAAATAAATGGTAAGTATGTGAGGTACTATATACAGGCTGGCCATAAAGTTTGTGTGCAATTTAAAATAGTGTGCGCACAATCTTTACAGCCACCCCATATTTTAATTTTTAAACATTATGTCACATACCATAAATATACACAATTTTTATTTGGCAATTTAATAATAATAATACTAAGGGGGGAAAGCTCCACAACAGAGGAACTACCTTATCAACAAACAGTTCTAAATGATCTTCCAGAGAAATGAGTAGGGAAAAGAAGGTCAAAACCAAGGCAGGAGAGTAGAGAGGAAAGGCTCCCGGAGAGAAAAGCGGTGGCCACGCCAGGCTCTCCTTTGGGTTGGGGGAGGCTTGTGCACAGGGCCCTGGGTATCTGAGTGCCTGGTGGGGTCCGAAAGGTGAGGTCTTTACCTTCACTGTTGGGGTGGGGCAAGGAGCACCTCATCAGGTCCATAGGAATCAGATGAAAACCTAGGGTGGGAGGTGGGGCATTGACAAGAGAATTGTTTTAGGAATTGGTTAAGACTGGTGCTTTTCCTAATTAGCTGAGAATACGTGTAGGGCCCTCTTTATTTTGTTTTTGAGATGGAATCTTGCTCTGCGGTCTGGGCTAGATCCAGTGGTGTCACCATAGCTCACTGCAACCTCAACTCCTGGCCACAACCTATGGACTGCAGGTGCATATGATCACGCCCAGCTAATTTTGCTATTTTTTTGTAGAGACAGGGTCTCCCTCTTGCTCAAGTTGGTCTTGAACTCCTGGCCTCAAGCAATCTTCTTGTGTTAGGTTCCATTTTAAAAAGTGGTCATGGCCAGGCATGGTGGTTAATAACCATAATCCTAGCACTCTGTGAGGCCAAGTTGGGAGAATCCCTCAAGCTCAGGAGCTCAAGACCAGCCTGAGCAAGAGTATTATTTTCTAATAAAAAGAGAAAAAACTAGCCAAGTGTTGTGGCCGGCACCTGTAGTCCCAACTACTGAGGATCTGAGGTAAGGGGATCGATAGCTTGAGCCCAGGAGTTTGCAGTTGCTGTGAGCTAGGCCGACACCACGGCATTCTACCCTGTGAAACTCTGTCTCAAAAACAAACAAACAAAAACAAAAACAAAAATGTGGTCATTCCCAGAGGAAATAGTCAACAGAAAGAAAGTTGTCATTCCCGAAACCCCAGGATAGACACACCTGGTCTAGGGCCTCCTATGTGCAAAGACCTTACGGACCTGATGGGACTCCAGCTAGGCCCCACCTGATGTTACTTGTCTTCCTCCAGACCCCTAAACTGGGAAGGACATTATGTCCCAGCATTAGGACAGGAGACAATCTGTGCCCGTTATTCTCCTGCACAAAGAAAGAAAGAACAGGAATCTCTCCATAACAGGAGAGGTTCCAAGATGCCACCACCCGTACTTGGAAGAAGCCAGGTTGAAACACTATTCAAGTCAAACTTTCTTGATATTACTCTATCTTTCCCCAGGAGGCCTGCACTAAAACAAACTCGGACACCTGTGGCCTCTTTCTTCTATGCAAAGCAAAAAGCCGGCAGCAACCCCCAAGCTGATAAGATTAATCTAAAGAGCAAATTAGGGTGTAATTTCCTATGCCGAAACTTTGTAGTTAATTTTAAAAAAAGGTTTCATTTTCCTATTGGTCTGATTTCACAGGAACATTTTACCTGTTTGGGACTTTTTTTTTCTCCTGGAAGAGAGGTGCTGATTGGCCCCAGCTACTGACAATCTGGTGTAATGAAAATTTCCAATGTAAACTCATTTTCCCTTGGTTTCAGCAATTTTAAATCTATATATAGAGATATCTTTGCGAGAATTGCCTTGTTAGCTTCTCCTGATAAGTTAATTGTCTTAGATTTCATCGTGAATAGAGCTCTATTAATGGGTCTTACCTCCCAGCTGATCCCCTCTCTGCTCTGCCTCTTAGCATGTACTGGCAACTTTGTCCACGGACACAAACGCGGTATTGTCTTAAAAGAGTGCATCAAAGCTTTGAACATCCTCACAGAGAACAAGGTGAGTACCTATCTAGCACCATCTCTCCAGAGGTCCTGGTGGAGGTGTGGTATTTCTAGACCATGAAAAGAACACAGGAGTTGCTAGAGAAGTTGAAATTGGTATTGGTCCTTGGTAGCGGAGCTGGGAGCCAGCAGACTTCTTCCCGACACTTTTTTCTGAGGGAGTGTAGGAAGTTTTCTCCATTGGAGGGAGTGAAAGGTGCTCATCAAGCTTCTGTCTGTCCAGTCAGAGGTTAACTCTATCTCTTGCTCTCTTTCATTCCTGCCTGGGCCAAGACTCCGTGCGACGAGTTGACCGTAGCAGACATCTTTGCTGCCTCCAAGGTAAGAAGCTGTCCTGTGGTCTGTTTGGCAGATGGGTGGCGTGGGAGGGGAGAGCCATCCACAAGTATTTGAACGTGAAACTTGCTTGAAAACGAGCAGGCGCAAATTGACTATAATGTGTTAAATGTTTTCAAAGGATGAGAATTCTGATCTTTACCCTTAAGCATGATTTGATGGTTCTGGTTTCACTTGATTTAGAAGATGTGTAATAGAAAGTTTAGATTTTGTAATTCAAATTTTGATCCTGGCCAAAGAAAAGCTCTCTAGGGTTTTACCTGGCATAGCACCTGGGATTCAGGAGGCATTCACTAGATCCCTGTTGAATGAGAGAATTTTTCTGGCCCATACATTTCTGAAAAACCAAATACTCTCACAAGAACAGATATTGAGATCACAGGTTGAGGGAGCTTTCATTTTGTCTAAGAGACTTCCTATGGCAACAGAAAAGGTATCACCAGAGCCCCTCCTCTTCCACAGCCTGGTCACCTAACGACCCTCCGGGTTCTGGGGCTGGCCATCCAGAAACCCTCCCCTTGCTCTGTCTGGCCAAACACCCCTCCAGCCTTGTCTGCCTGCCCTGCAGGTCAGAGTCCAACACATCCCTGCTTCTGGCTGCTTGGGCACCTGTCTTTGGGGCTGCTGTGCCATCTCACCCCCGCCCCCTATCTGCAGTGGGAGGAGATAGATTTGACAGCTGATAGTGCGTTTTCTCTGACAAACACATGACTGCAGCCATTATCGATAGATTTGTGCACTTCAGTTCCTGTTTTCATGGAAACACACGACTGAGAATGAAAGTCCCAAAGCCTCAATTTACCAGTGGTCTCCTAACTACCTGCTTTCCACGTGAACTAGAAGGGAGACTTGGCCAGGAGTGAAGCCTTGGGGGTGGGGGCTGGTGGGCTGGGTCCCACCCTGGCACGCAGGCCGCAGAATAGGGCCCGTCCTACTTCATGAGGAGAACTGCTCTGCAGGCCTTTCTCTGTATTATCTCACTTCATCAAAGATTATCCTGGGAGTCTTAAACAGGAAGAGATTCTGAAGGACAAATATATGTGTGTTTAACACACATATAATCTATGCATATATATAAAATCTCCAGGTCCTTCCAACCCAGACGGTTCCTACTAGGGTTGCTCTGGGTCCTCCAGAGCCCAGCTGCTCTGCTAAGAAGGCTCTAACAAAGGTGAGGGAAGGAACCAGCTCTAGTAGACACCAGCCTTGAGGAAGTGCCAAGGGCCTGGCACTTACACTTTTAGCCCAGTTCTGCCATCAACTGGCTGGGGGGCCCTTGGTAAGTCTTCAGACTTCTTTGCACCTCACTTTCCACATTCGAAGATACAAAAGTGATCCTGGAGGTGATTTGAAGGTTGATTGGAATCCATCTCTTGAGTCAGTGGAAAGTGTTATGGTCAGATTTATAGCTGATTAAAAGCCCATGCCGGAAGGACGTCTGTCCCTCACGGGACTGTCAGAAAGGGCCGACTGGAAGATTTCTTCTGTGGCAGTGACTCTGTTGGACTTCTACCTTGGTTCTTGCCCAGCCTCCATTAGGACCGTGAAAAGCCAGACCTTTCAGTATTGCATTCATCGTCTCCAATTCTGCCCCAATTCAGTCAGCCAGCGCTGACTGTGCTCCTTTGGAGTCTCCCCTTGAGCAGTTCTGAGCTGTGAGGTCAGCCAGGCTGCCACAGTGAGCTCCCGGAGCCACTGCCGGGCACACTCAGCAGAAGTCAGATAGGCAGGGGGAACCAGGGGTGGCATAGAAGGAAGGGCATCCTTTTGCTGCCTTACCAATGGAACTAAAAGTTAAGGCCTCTAACTAAAATTGCCTTTAAAATTACTTCTTTAAAGTTTTCCCATTTGCTGCCAACTCTTTTCAATTCTTATTTTATCCTAATTATCTTTAGAAAGATATTATTCTTTTGAATAATATCTTTAGAGAATTCTTTCTTCTTTTTTTTTTTTAAAGTCTCACTCTATGCCCTGGGTAAAGTCATAGCTCACAGCAACCTCAAACTCTTGTGCTCAAGCCATCCACTTGCCTCAGCCTCCTGTGTAGCTGGGACTACAGGTGTGCATAACAATGCCTGGCTAGTTTTTTCTGTTTTTAGTAGACACAGGGTCTTGCTCTTGCTCAGGCTGGTCTTGAACACCTGAGCTGAAGGGACCCACCCTGGCCTTGAACTCCCAAAGTACTAGGATTACAGGTGTGAGCCACTGCACCTGGTATAGAGGGTTATTTTTTATATTATGTGCCAGTATATTTCTTATGTGATCAAAACTAAGAGGTAGTTTAAGTTTTCTATACTCCAAGCCAAAGCTTCAGGAAAGTTTCACTAGGTTTCAGTGGGAAAATAAGCAAAGTGGTTCCTCTTTTGGTCTTCTAGATTCTCACTGTTCTCTCTATGGTAACATTGTATCTGCCCACCTCTGATACACAGGTAGCTGTGTCCTTCTCACCACCACCTTGTCCGCCCCACCTGGACTCACCCAAAAAGCCCAGAGGGGTGTGGTGATTGGGTGGGAGGTTTCTTGACTTCCAGAGCCCAGATATACTGGAACTGCTCTTAAATTTCCAACTAGAGGCCAGGGGTGGTGGCTCACGCCTGTAATCCTAGCACTCTTGGGGGGCTGAGGTGGATGGGTTGCTTGAGCTCACAGGTTTGAGACCAGCCTGAGTAAGAGCAAGACCCTGTCTCTAGCCTGAAATGTGGTGAGCACCTGTAGTCTCAGCTACTAGGGAGGCTGAGACAAGAGGATTGCTTGAGTCCAAGAGTTTGAGTTTGCTGTGAGCTATAACGCCATGGCACTGTACCCAGGGTGACTAAGTGAGACTTTCTCAGAAAAATAAATAAATAAATAAGATAAATTTCCTACTAGAATTAGAGATCAGGAGTGACTCGGCAGTTTATTAAGTTAATGTCCTTCCACTGGGCCTGCCTTGGGACATCAAACCCAGCAAGGGGAAGGGGGAAGCTTCTGTGTCTGGGGTTGTGGTGCTCAGTCTAGATCTTCTCAGAAGAACCTTACAACATGAAATGCCCTTCTAGAATTTAGCCTACATTAATAAGAGATGAACACAAACATTTACACAGATCACTCATAGCCACATTATTTACAGAAGCAAAAAACTACAATGATAGGGGATTGGGAAATTATGCTATAACTATGCAATGGGTGTCTAATGCAGCTCTCACCACCATATTCTTAAATGCTATTGAATGACTTAAGAAAGCACTCATTGTAGGCTCAGCAACTGTAGCTTAGCAGTTAGGGAACTGGCCACATACACCGGGGTTGGCAGGTTGGAACCCAGCCCTGGCCTACCAAACAATGACAATTACAACAACAAAATAGCTGGGCATTGCAGTGGGCACCTGTAGTCCCAGCTACTTGGGAGGCTGAGGCAAGAGAATCACTTAAGCCCAAGAGTTTGAGGTTGCTGTGAGCTGTGATACCACAGCACTCTACTGAGGGTGACATAGTAAGACTTTGTCTCAGAACAAAACAAAACAAAAAAACTCATTGTATATGTTAAGTGTAAAAAGAGTTATAAAACTTTGTTAACAGCTGATGTCAATTTGGAAAAAAAGATGAAGTATAAAGAAAACATGGAAAGATATTTACTAAAATATTAACTGTAGTTGTCTCTGACTATTGGAGTGAGTGAATTCATTTTTGCCCAGTATATGTGACCTCTATAGCAGACGTATATTTGCTTGATCATCAGAAGAGTATATAACCATAAGAACTTAAAAGCTGCTTAGACAGTGTGTCTCAAATAAATCCCCTGGCATCTTGTCACTGCACTTCTGATTCAGGAGGCAGGTCTAGGATGCAGCCTGAGATTCATTCCTTACAAGGTCCTGGGTGACATCCCAGCTGCTAGGCCAGGGCCCACCCTTTGAGTAGGGTGGACTAGAGCATGTCCTGGCAGAGGCTAGAGATAGCTTTCTTTATCTGAACTGGCTCGAGCTGAGACTGCTCTCCAGGTTCTGTGCCTTTGGTCTTCATGCCAGGCCTGGCTCAGACTGAGGCATCATTCATTCCTCTCCTAAGTTCCCAGCAAGAGCTGTTTCCCACTTGTTCTAGTCTAAGGCAGTGATTTTCAACCTGTGTGCCTTGAAAATTTTTAAAGATCATTAATTAAATTATTTTCAAAAGAAGTTCAAAGCACAGTAAACATATTCTTTTTTCACTCCTTTTTTAATAATCAACATAATTTAAGTGTGCTGTGTAAATTTAACTACAGGTTCAAGTGATATAAAAAAAGAAAAGCACTGCTGTAAGGCCAATGTTCCCAGGAAGAGCCATGTGGCTGGGCCACATCAGAGTTGCGAGCATTCCAACAGGGCTCTGACTGTGCACTTGAGGCCAAAGTCCCCCTACAGAAGCTCTGTCCAAGGTCCAGATCATGACACCCTCTCTCAGAAGCTTCCCCTGACCTCCCCAGACCAGACTCCTGGAACACCTCAGCCTGACCTGATCACTTACCTCTTGCTGTATGGGGAAATATCTTACCTTCTCGCTTGGATCATGAACTTCCACACAGATTTCTATCTTCCATGGGAGCCGGGGCAGAACGCAGAGTGCCGCCCATAGTAGCAGTGTTCAGCCCAAAGGATGGCTGTTCATTTATTCAACAAACATGTAGGATTTCTAGGGGAAAGCTGGATTTTAAACCTTGTGGGAATGAGAGAAGAATCAGAACAAGCTCTTGTGGGCATTTTCCATGGGAAAAATAGCTCACAGGGTATGAAGACAGAGATCTGAGCTATAAAGACAGGGGTCCTGTATTCTAGTCCCCACCCTGCCATTTACCTGGTGGGGTAACTTTAGTCACATGCCCTTTCAACAAAACCCTCCAAGGGGAAAGAAACTGGGAAGACCTGAGGGGAAGGTTGCTGCATTTGTGGTAACTGGGAGAGGCTGTGTATGTCTGGGACCACGACAGGCACCCTTCAGTCAGTGGAATACTTAAACACGGATCCACAAGCGAGCAAACTCACCTTCCCCATTTGTCCTCCTGGAAAGAAGGAATCAGGAGGAAAAATATCCCTCTCGTGTTCAAAATAATAGAGCAAGCGCATGGCTATCTGTGGCATTTCTCTTTCTAGAACACAACTGAGAAGGAAATATTCTGCAGGGCTGCGACTGTGCTTCGGCAAGTCTACAGTCACCACCAGAAGGAACCGTGCAGGGGTGCCACTGAGAGGCAGCAGCTCTACCGTCACCAGCAGGTGATCAGATTCCTGAAAGGACTTGACAGGAACCTGTGCAGCCTGGCAAACTCGGTAAGCGGGCAGCTCGCATCCTAGGTACAGCCATCTCATTCTAAATGTTCTTCCCCGGCCAGGTGCAGTGGCTCAGCCTGTGATCCCAGCACTTTGTGAGGCTGAGACGGGAGGACTGCTTGAGGCAGTCCAGCCTGGGGGACAGAGTGAGACCCTGTCTTTTAAAAATAGTCTCTCCTTATAAGCTGTAGTACTCTTGATTAATTGACCTGTTCGTTCAGCAAATACTCATTGAAGCTCTGCAAGTGCCCAGTGCAGTTCCAGGCACTGGAAATACAGCATTAAAGACAATCAGGCAGAGTGGAATGCTCTCAGAGAATGTTCTAATGGGGCAGTTAGAAAAACAAACACGTAATCTGACGTCCGGCAGTAGTAAGTGCTATGACGGAAAATATAGGAATAAACATAAGGTCACAGGGGACAGGGCTGATTTAGGAGCTGGTGACATTATCTAAGCAGATATTTGAATTAAGAGAGGGAGCAAGCCAATGACTAACTGGGGAAATAGCATTCCAGGCAAGAAGGAGCAGCTGTGCAAAGGCCCTGAGGTGGAAATGAGCTACATGTGTTCAATGATCAGCATGAAGGCAGGGTGGTTGGAGCAGAGTGAACGAGAGGGATTTTTGTAGGATATTGATTGGATCACACAAGGCTTTTAGATTCAGCCTCAAGTATGGTAGGAAACATCTGCAGAGTTTTGAGCAAGGTCAAGACTAAGATCTGTTTTGTGACTTAAAAGTGATCACTCTGGCTACTGTGTGGTAAACAGATTGAACAGAGGTAACCACAGAAGCAAGATGTCCTGCTGGGAGGCCCCCACAGTGAGCCAGGCTAGAAATGATGGTAGGAGCAGTGGAGGTGGTTAGATTTGGGATATAACTAGAAATAGTCAGAAGGGTTTGCTGACAGATTGGGTGTGAGGGGTGAGAGATAGAGGAGTGAAAGGTGACCTCTTGGTTCCTGCCTGAACCCCCTTGGGGAGAGTTGGTATTATTTACAGAAATATGGAAGACTGGGGGGCAAAGCAGGGCTGGAGGTTGAGCCAAAATCCAAACAGGTCGATTAATCAAGAGTACTACAGCTCACAAGGGGAGACTATTGGAATCGAAGTATGATTCCAATTTCGCACATAGCAAATGTGAGGTCCCTATGGTTTAGCCACGTGGAGATGTCAACAAGATGGTTAGAAAAGTCTGGACCTTAGGGGCGAGATCAGAACCTGCACTGCATGGACAGTCCTCAGATGCTATTTAAAGTCTGGATGACAGTGAAAGGGAGAGGTCTAAGGGCTGAGCCTGGAGGCACTCCAACACGTGGAGGTTGGGAAGAGGAAGAGCCAGCAAAGGAGACTGAGGGGTAACAGCCAGGGAAGTAGGCAAAAATTGGACAGTGTGTGGTGGCCCAGAAGGCAAGCGAAGAAGGTCTTTGGGGAAGAAGTGATCAATGCCATCAAATGTACCTCAAGGTCAAGTGAGATGAAAACTGAGAAGGGTCACTGGGTTCTGCATGATGGAGGTCACCGTGATGCTGCTGTGCAGGAGGCTGGGGAGAGTCTGTGTTCACTGGAGGATGGCATGGGAGACAGGAAAAAGAAGGGACAGTGAGCACAGGAAAAACTCTTTTGAGGTCGTTTGCTATAAGGCTGCAGAGAAAATGGAACAACAGCTGACAGGCAGGTAGGGGGTGAGGGAAGTAAGTTCTTTTAAGGCAGGGTATGTATCTACCATGTTAATACACCACTGGAAATGATCCAGGGGAGAAGGGAGAATTGATGATATAGAAAAGAGGGAGAATTGGGAGGCGCCTGTGGCTCAGTGAGTAGGGCGCCAGCCCCATATATTGAGGGTGGTGGGTTCAAACCCGCCCCAGCCAAACTGCAACAAAAAATAGCCGGGCGTTGTGGCGGGCGCCTGTAGTCCCAGCTACTTGGGAGGCTGAGGCAGAAGAATCACCTAAGCCCAGGAGTTGGCAGTTGCTGTGAGCTGTGACTCCACTGCACTCTACCAAGAGTGATAAAGTGAGACTCTGTCTCTATAAAAAAAAAAAAGAAAGAAAGAAAAGAAAAGAAAAGAGGGAGAACAGTTAGAAGGCAGAAGTCCCCGCAGCCAGGTGGATGTTACCCAACAGGGAGTGGAGGAGCCGGCTTAAGCAGAGAGCAAGGACATCCATCCCCTGCTGGGCCTACTGCCTCACTCATAAGGAAACCTAAGAACAGGGCCCTGCCACAGCACACCTTCTCTCCTTTAATTCTTTTACATTATGAAGTAGGCAAGGAGGCAAAGGATTGTTCTCACTTACCAAGAAGAAACTGGAGCTTTTTATAAATTAAGTAGTTTGTTCCTGGCAAGGCAATGAATAAACAGTATAGCTGAGATTCCAACTGAAGCAGTGGCCTGGTGGTGGTAGGTATCCGGCACACATTCCACTGTTAGGGCCATTTAATGACCCTGGTGCTGCCATTTAATGCAACTGAATCTGTCTCAGAGGTCCGAACACCTGGCAATAAGGATGTCTGAGCCTACATTGTCATGGTTCTCCCTCTGACTAGCACCCAGCTGTGATATACATCTCCAGAGAGCACCACATTCCCTGAAGGCAGATACCTGATGGTGGTGCAATAACCATTTCTGGAAATTTAAGTGGCAAGTGCCAAAACAGGTAAATCCTGCCAGCCTGGTGGCACAGTCAGACTCCTAATCAGACCAGACTAGAGGCCCTGGTTTGGCAATTATTCAGGTGGCAGGTGCCAGAGCAGGCTTGTCAAGTTGACGGCCTGACAGAAAAATTGAAGTGTTGGCCAATGCAAGCTGATGACTGTTTCTTTTGTAGAGATACTGTCCTGTGAATGACGCCATGCAGAGCACACTGAAAGACTTCTTGGAAAGGCTAAAGACGACCATGAAAGAGAAATATTCAAAGTATTGGAGCTGAATATTTTTAATTTATGAGTTTTTAATAGCTTTATTTTTTTAATATTTATATATTTATAATGCATCATAAAATAAAGTATATGTAAAATCTAACAGCAATGGCATTTAATAGTATTGGCTTTGTTTACTTGACAAATGAGGTTATGGTTTGCAACTTTTAGGAAAACCTATTTAATTCACTGGGAGACTACAAATGTTGTGGGAACAAAATGCGAAAGACCACTTCTCTCTCAAGGGGTTCCCTCTCTGGTTGGGGACATAATGCACAAGATAATTATAAAAATGCAAGGCCACACAACATGAAAATTGTAAAAGTACACAGCCACACAAGATTGTAAAAATGTAAGTAAGAGAGTTTGGGTTCATGAGTCCTACTGACTACCATATATATCTGAAAATAAAAGGTATCAACTGGATACTTAGAACATTCTTCTAAGACACAAGGATTTGTTATATTGAATCTGTAGAAAAAATAAGAAAGGTATCAACTGGATACTTAGAACATTCTTCTTTGACACAAGGATTGTTATATTGAATCTGTAGAAAAAATAAGTAACCCCCACACATTCCATGGCTCTACACTGAACAATACTCACCATAATAATGTAAATTCCCTTGATTCTCAAGTCTTAGAACCAACCTTAACACAAAGAACAGAAGACTTAATAATGGTTAGAGAACAGAATGCAAAGGCTATCACCTGATATTATAAAAGGGATAGCTAAAAATGGCTGGGAGGCAAAACAGAAACAAAGAAAGAGAGGTAGGGCACTGGTGTGTCCAGTTTAGACAGAAAAGGGGCCAGTTAAACAATACTGACTAAGGTTCAGGGAACAAGAATAAGAGATAGAAGTATTTATTCAAAACTGTACTGGCAATAGAACTAAACTAAAAATAATTTACTATAAAAAATTTGGAAGTAGGGCACTGTGACTCCTACCTGTATGCTCAGCTACCTAGGAGGCTGAGGTAGGAGGACTGCTTGAGGCCAAGAGTTTGAGGCTGCTTTGAGCTAAGATTGTACCACTGCACTTCAGCCTGGGTGACATTGAGACTCTATCTCTAAAAATTAAACTAAATTAAAAAGAAAAATAAATAAATAATTTGGGGGCAGGGCCTGTGGCTCAAAGGAATAGGGTGTAGACCCCATATATGGGAGGTGGCAGGTTCAAACCTGGCCCCAGCCCCCTGCCAAAAACCTGCAAAAATAAATAAATAATTTGGAAGTAGTAAATTACATAAACTCTCATTTTAGAATAAGGAAATCAACATGTAATATATAAAGATGATAAATCAGAATATAGGTAGTAAAAGTAGTCATGAATTGATGATTGGAGATAGTTACATGCGGACTGATTATACTATTCTGCTTTTATATATATTTGTAAGTTTTTATTTAAAAAGTGAAGAAAAAACCCCAATAATCAATAAACCAAGCAATCTTTGGAATTACGATGGTAATCACTGGAAAAACTAAAACCAACAAAAAAAGGACAATGGTTTGCTGGGAATGGAACTCGGACTAAGGAGCATTGAAGTAGGACTAGGGACTTGGCTTTTGATTATAAGTCTCTGTGTGACCATATCCATAGGGGATAAAATGTTCTTAAAATTATGGCTCAGCACCTGTGGCTCAAGTGGCTAAGGCGCCAGCCACATACACCTAAGGTGGTGGGTTCGAATCCAGCCTGGGCCCGCCAACCAACAATGATGGCTGCAACCAAAAAACAGCCAGGCATTGTGGCAGGCGCCTGTAATCCCAGCTACTTGGGAGGCAGAGACAGAAGAATCACTTGAGTCCAGGAGTTGGAAGTTGCTATGAGGGCACAGCACTCTACCCAGGGTGATGGCTTGAGGCTCAGTCTCAAAAAAAAAAAAAAATTAAAAAATAAAATTAGAAAGAGACAATGAATGAATGTCGGTAAAGATGTAGAAAAACTGAAACCTTCATACACTGCTAGTGCAATTGGAAAATAGTGCAGCCACTTTGGAAAATGGTTTGGCAGTTTCTCAAGAGGTTAAACATAGTTTATGACTTAGAAATTCCAATCCTAGGTATATACCCAAAGGAACTGAAAACATATGTCCACATAAAACCCCTATACAAATATATGCATATCAACATTATTTGTAATAGTAAAAAAGCAGCTGTAACCCAAATGTCCAAACTGACGAACGGATAAACAGAATGTGGTACCCATATATGATGGAGTGTTTTTAATTTTTATTTATTTATTTTAGAGACAATGTCTCACTATGTGAGACTATGTGGCCCTTGGTAGAGTGCTGTGGCATCACAGCTCATAGCAACCTCCAACTCTTGGGCTTCAGTGAATCTCTTGCCTTAGCCTCCCAAGTAGCTGGGACTACAGGTGCCCACCACAATGCCCGGCTATTTTCTTGTTGCAGTTGTCATTGTTGTTTAGTGGGCCTGGGCTGGGTTAGAACCCTCCAGCCTCGGTGTATGCGGCGGGTGCTGTAACCACCGTGCTAGAGGCAGTGCCCATATGATGGAGTGTTATTCAGCGATAACACTCCAATAAAAAGGGGAAGGGCTGACACATGCCACAAAATGCATAAAGCTTGGAAACATTATGCTAAGTGAAAGAATCCAGATATGGAAGTCCACAAATGGGATGATTCTATTTACAGGAAGTGTTCAGAACAGGAAAATCCAGAGAGGCAAAAATAGAATATCGGTGGCTAGAGGATGGGGGAGATGGAGGAATAGGGAGTGACTGATGATGAAGATGGGGTTTCCTTTGGAGGTGGTGAAAATGCCCTGACATTGGTGGTGATAAATGCACAATTCCATGAAAATACAGAAAGCAACTGAATTGTACACTTTAAAAGGATAAATTTTATAGTAATGTGAATTATATATCAATAAAGCTTTTATTTAAAAGAAACTAAAGATGGAAAGAAAATAAAACCAAGTGTCAAGTCATTAAAACTTGCCTTTGAAAATGTTCTCTGCAGGAATACGGATCTAGTAACAGTGATCGAGCACTCTCCCTTCATCCTCGCTTATACATATGTGACGAAAATTAATACTAGTACTAAAACTACACCAAAATATGTAATATCTTTTTTAACCCTTTTAAAATAAGAGAATAAATCAAAAGCTTAAAGTCTCACCCTGACCACAGCCAGTTTCACCCTGCCCACATAAAATACCAGCATGCCAAGGGCGATATGTAACTAAGAGTCATGGAGGCTTCTAAGGCCAATCGGAGAAGATACACGCTGAAAATTTTAATTTCCTTTCTTCTTTGATTGAGACTCATTTGCATTCAATGGCTAATGTGAGCTGTAGTCTGCCACAGGATATGAGTTGTGGGTTAGTTCGTGTATGAGGTTAGGATGGTAAAGGAAAGGCTGTCAGGAAGAAAGATTTAGAACAGGCCATGTAAAGGACACGTGCAGGCTCTAAGTAGATCTGTCAGGAGATAAGCGGTGGTGGGCAAGATGCAACTAACATTGCTACGCACTCCCAGACAGGTAGTTCTGAACTCTATAAATGGAAACATCCAACAGTGAGACTTTGAATTTAACAACAGAATGAGAGAACATGACTTGAGGATACACATAGCAGTGAGCAATAAACCTTCAGGATGAAGTGAAAGTTAAATGCTTGTCATCAAAACACATAGGTTTAAAAAACTCAGCCATAAGTTTAAAAAACTCATGCCTGCTCCAGGGAACATGCTTCTTCTGTGCACAAGGGATGTGTGACATTGACAGCAAGGCTGAGCCACTCCCTCCTGACTGTCAGCTACCTCCACCTTTGCCAGGGAATAGATACCTCTAACTGGCATCTAGTAGGTAATATTTATTGGACAAATGAGTGAGGAAAATCTACGGCTGTATGCCTTTTATCGAAATGTTCTTGGGCCACAATAAGAAATGCTGGCCTCTGATAAAAACATTAACAGAGACTGTCTTGTTGGAGTTAGTGTGTCTGAGCCACTAAGCCTGCCCTCGATTTTTCTTTACTCTCCTCTACATGTTGTCTCAACTGGCCTTTCAGAGTGTCCAAATCATCTGGGCACGGAGAATCTCAAGACCAAGTACAGCGAACAGCTTTCTCTCAGAGCATGGCCTGGCCTACCAGCATACAAGGCTAGCATCTCAGTTCCTACCAACTTCTACCGAGGGCCAAACAGGCACTTTTTCTAGTCTTAGGGCTGATTTGTTGTTTATTTCTAGGTTCAATTTAGGAACTCAAGTTGGACTTCCATTCCCAAGTGGAATACCAAAATCCCCTGGTTAGCTGTCATGCCCAGTATCACCTACATTGGTTTTTTGCCCCTATGCATCCAGACATTCTCTCCTCAGCACTCTAAAACACCTCTCTTCTAATCCATCCTTCCAGTCAACTTCTTCTCAGTCCAACTTTCAGTCTCTAAGCTGTCTGCTTCTTCTTGTTTCCTGATAGCCAGTGTTAAAGCAAACAGAAGTATGTTTTCATGTTTTGTGTGTTCACCGCACACCTAGGCACCTACCAGGCAATGTGAATACAGGGAAGACATGACAGGTTTGCTCCCTTGGTCTATACCATCGTGAGAGCAAGAGAAATAGCTGAGAGGGGTGAGGACTATTTCAGCCCCCAGGACACAGATGTGTATATCATCTGCTATCCCAAATGCTCCCTCACCTAATTCTTCACAATCTTTCCAACAGTTGTTTTTCTGAAACACAATGTGAGTGATCCACTTAAAATCTTTCTGTGGCTTCCTATTGCTTCCAGAAAACTCTTCCACAAGAGGATCTTGGTCTACCCTTTCCCTTTCAGGCTCACATGTTCCCACCCTCTTGCCCTACTTCAAGCATACCATCCACGCACGTGGCATCCAAACTCACGTTACTCCTGCCATATGGAATGCCTTTCCCCACATGCTAAACTGCTTTAAGACCTCAAAACAGCACTTCCCCTGAGAAGCAGCTTTTTCTGACCATTTGGTCAGGAAGACACGTGCCAGTCACCGAGCTAGCTGTGAG